ACAATAACGACTGATCTCCTTTCTGAGACGTAGATTGAGTCTCTTGAAGACCTTCTCTCCAAAATACTGCTACGAAATATGTGAAGAAGTATGAAGATATAAAGTTAATGTACGAAGTATGTCCTCAAAATATGAATATATGCAGAAGTATGAAGTCGCTGCAGCAGTGATGTGAAGTGACGGATATCTTCGAAAGTCACATTTCACCACTTATTATAGTACGAAAATTCTTATTTTTATAAATTCGAGTCGACACCTTAAAGCTGTGACTATTAGCTGTTATATTTTAACATAATACGTTTTTAACGCAGATTTAAACTTGAAATATATTTTTGGAAAATGTTTTTTATTATTAAGATTTATTCGTATTTTAGCACAATGAATATCTATCACTGGTTTTCACTTAACATCAAATGCGTTAATTTCGTCAAATTGATGGATAATTTGGTTCCACTTGAAAACATAAGCTGGTTATTTCTAATATACACAGTCAAATATTGTTAACTACGAACTGGTGAAATTGGCGAATTGGTTAATAATGCCATGCAAATGGTTAAATTTTGTGATTTTGATAGGTAATTTATCATGCATGTTTGATTTAAAAACTCGTATTCAATAGTAAATAATTTAACCAACTCTGATGTATACAGCAAAATCTGATTTAACCGTATATACTTTAGGGATTTTTGAGTTATCAACGTCCGCGAAAGAAATAGTCAGCCGTAATGATTGTTATTGTCATGTTATCACCAGGCTTATTATGTTTATTATTATATTGGAGATTATGCATTGTTATAATACACATAACAATCGCTTAGCTTACGTGGTTTACTTGTCACTAATCGCATAATGACATGTTCGCGGCAAAATTCTTCTTTCGCATTCTTTTGAGCAGTAATAAACAATAATGAAGAATAATAAACAATAATAATAAACATTACAACAATAAACAATAATAAACATTACACACTTATGTGCATTTCAAGCAAAATTTAGCTTTTTGCTTAGCGCATTGATGCGCTTACCTCTCTGACTGTCTTAGTTGTAGGTAATCTATGTTTCAGTTATACATGGGATTTTTGAATAAAATCAAAAATGTGAACAAGTAAGAGATTAAAGATCCATCGCTACTCGATGATACGAACGGAATGTGTTACCTAATTCCCTCGACATTCATCTAAAGAGAACTGTATATGTTTCAATAGTAGTGACAGGCAGGATGCAAAAAATGTAGGATGTCAGGAGGCCAAAATGCCTAAACTTTTATACTCTACTGTTCAATTATTCTTGCATTTTGTTGTTCCGTTAAAAATTTTGCCTCTTGCATGATTACATTTTATGGCAGCACTTCTCACTGCACGTTTAGAAGATTATTTATAAGGTCTCTTTCCTGATTTCGTAAAACATATTTTCTTAGAGTGACTCTTAGATCGTCCTTCATTGGTTGAAAGGATCATCTAAACAAGGAAAACAATTCGTAGCCAACAGAGTGGTTTAACTGCAGTCACTGACACTACCAGAATGCTGGAACCCCTGCAGTAACTTCGAAGTTTTATTATATATTTATTAATATAAAATAAGCATAATAAAATATAACTAGTCCATCAATACAAATGAAAAATTTAAATTATATATTATGTATCTTTTAAACATATTTATTAAAAAAATAAGCAACATATAATTACAATATAATAACAAAACAAAGCGCGCAACAGCATTCCTTTCAGTATTTTCATCAAGAGCAACCGTAAATATCTTTCAATATTTCGCGCAGAAGCCGATATTTCTTGAATTTGGGGTAATATTGTTTGTAGATTTGGTAAATCGCTGAATAATATTTCAATACTTCCTTCATCGTGTAGCAATTTTAATAACCATCAGTATATTTAACAGCAGCTTTCAATGCTTTTGATTTAGTTAATAATTTAAACAGTTGACAAATTAGGCTGAGCTTAAATTTTTCTATCCCAATTATTTTAGCAGTCAAATTTCTGTGAAAAAGACATAAACTCATTCCTGTCAAGGTACTGTTAAGGTAAGGTTGATAAAATACGTAGTTTCCCATCACAGACGGCGGCTTTTCAATTTTCTCCGATCCAAACGGGGGGCACCGACCTTATAAGATGGTGGTTGGCTGAATGGTGTATACAGAGACTTTATTCATTGTATTGCCCTTTCAATTAGACATTAGCATTCTCACATGTTACGGTATAGGAACGTACAGTTTAGCCTTCCTTCTACCAGGTGGCAGCATCGTAGCTATAACCTGTTACTAGGGAATAGGCAGTCTTTCCACCCTTCCTCATTTTCGATCATAATTTGCGTCGTCATCGCCAAGCAACTTTTATTTCTCCAGACCATTTTAGACTACAATTCAATTCAGCTTTCATTCGTACGCTTTTCAACACGCTGAACGGAAATGAAGTGGAAAAAAAAACTGTTAGGGAATTTGACCACCTGCCGCAGCTGCCATTACCATGGTTACAGTGAAAGTCGGGAAGGAGAGAAAGCTAAGATGCTGAAGCGCTTATTCATTAAAAAAAAAAAAAAAAAAAAAAAAAAAAAAATCAAAGTAGCATCTCAAATTATTATGCTTTACATTAAAAGGAGGTGGGGTTTTGTAAATAATTATCAGTGTAATGCTGCAATGTAACTAGCCCTATCTGATGCTCGCTTCTCAAGGATCTTGTAAAAATTTTAAATTCTTTGTACAGTTGGTGATTATAGTTTAAGGCATTTATTTTTCGACAGTTCTTGCATTTGTTTTAGCATGGCTAGATTTCTGTTTCTGACTTTTCAGGAACTAAGAAGAAATATGTAAAGTAGTATTCTTGTATGTGTCAATTGTGAAGAAAAATACCATCTTTAACATATTGAACATGCTTGTGAAGATTTTCGAATAAAATCTATAATAGTAGTCTATAAGAGCTGCTAAGGATCGTACAATCTGGTGCGCAACAAAAGCGGAAGTAAAGAATTATCATTATTTTTCACATTTATCTTTGCTTCATAATTTTAAATCTGGACACATTATTTGTTCACGTTTTCTACGCATTATTTTTCTTTCATGCGACGCATTCTCAATATGTTCATCCCTTTAAACTGCATGTTTTACATGTTTTCTACTAGTTCATTTTTTCTTTGTACACATTTTAGATCTTTATTTTTTTTCTATGTGTAATCTATAAGTTCTTTTTATTTACATAATTTTTAGGTTATTTAAAATCGCTATCTTCCTCTGTGTGTGTTCTATATATTTTATTTCATTATAAAAATACATTCATTATGTAGTTTTCTCTATAATTCAGTTTCATTTATAGTTGGAGTTCCCTGCATTTAATTTTCTTAGACCACTATTTATTTTTATTCTATATTTTCTTTATCGTTCTATGGTTTTTAAAAATTTTTTACAGTAATTTTGTATAGATACTTATCTTCTATTTTTAATTTATATTTGTTATTTATCTCTAGCGAATTTATTTTACTAGATTTCTTACTTTCTAATGTTCTGTTACTTAATTTTTTCTTCACAGATTCATAAAATTCAAGCAATTATTCCTCGAAGTTCATTAATTTATTGTTTTTAGTAATTATTTATATTTACTTAACATTTTTTTATATTATTAACTTAGTAACTGTTCTGGAACTTTTCCATTGCTTTACACTCCTTACAATTTTTTTATTAACTTCATTTTTATTCATTAGTATTTATTTTCTAATATTATTATTTCTATTATTTACATTCTTTTACTTATCTAATATTACTATTTTTATTACTCCCTTTTTCTTTACACTTATCACACTATTTTCTCACCCCCTTTTTTATTTACTACTACTTCTAGAATAAATATTTTTTATCGCCGTATATCAATATACTTCTAAGTTTTTTTAATCATTTATTTTTCTTTCAAATTTTTTTTTATCTACAACTACTAGCAGATCCTCTTTTTTCTAACAATTACAGTTTATTTCTTTTGATACTGTAGCAATTACACTACCCTCTTTTTTTTCTTGCTACTATTTTTTTTTCTTTTTATTCAATACTTCTGCTACTTCTGATTAGGGATTTTCGTTTTACGTATCTACACACTGATACTTTTATTACTGATATTTGATAGTAATGATAGTTCTTTCCATTTATGTTATTTTACTTCTTATTTTCTTTCATTTTATGTACTACAACTTTCAAGTTCTCCTTTCCTATTTTACTTCAAGCTTTTTTCCCCTCATTTATGTAATTGCTATTTCTGTCTATTTCTTTTCACTTCACTTACTTATTAAGTTTATTTCTTCTCTTTTACCCCGCCCCCATTTTATCTACTGCTCTTATTTATTTGCTTATTTTATTTATTCACTTTTCTCCGATTTTCGTTGCATACAGAGAAAAAATTCGCAAATTTTATACTAAACCGCTGGACACTGCTTCATATGACTTTTAATGTTTAACTTTGCTTATTATCCTCTTCTTACTGATATAAGAAACACGTTGGAGAAAATGAATCTTCTATATTGTATACCTGGCGGGCTATAACTCAGATACCGTCTTTCACACAGTGAATCCGGCACTGTTAACTGTATACTTCTAATACTGTTTAGAGTTGTAATGGAATTTGATGTTCTAAGCTTTAATTAAACGTCATACATTTAATTTAATTTTAATCTTAATTTTTACAATACTTAAACTCCGTTGCCAGTGGCAAAATTTACGTTATTAATTAATCTACTCACAATTACAGTGTATTACTCAGTTACAGAAAAAGAAAGAATTTCCCTAATAAGACAGATGCTTTCATGGAATATATTTCTACATGTACCTTTTAGCACATTTCCATATGAGTTTCATTTTCCCCATGATCATTTTTGAACCAGTCAAAATAATACAGAAATTACATTATGCAATTACATAAAACTTTTAAGTTAGATCCTCATGTTTTGCACAGTGTCTTACTTACATCATGTATGGTATGTATGGTGAACTTCAGTCAAATCATTAGCAGACAGAAACACCAAAAAATGGATAATTTAATAGATGCATACACAGTTTGAACTTTTCTTCGTGACAAATTTCTGAAAAATACTCAGAATAAAATTCATTCGTATTGATTGCGCACGGCAGCATCGATTAACTTCTCACAAAATGAGTTTTGTATGTGGTAACTACAAGCCGTTCTTCTAGTTACCACATCTTTTAAAAGAAAGATTTTGTTGATATGATTGCTTTATTAGGAATCATGCTGGTGACCCACATATTTTAGTTCCGAGTTTTTTCTTTAAAATCTTGCGCAGAGTTGATTATGACACATGATTTTATACCTTACATTCCAAGATTGATGAATTCAAACATAAAGACTGGATTTTAAATGTTATCGCTGGAGTTTTTTTATTATCCTGTACACGAAAAGACATAGAAATCTTCTTACAGGTTCCTCTTCAATGTATATTTAATCTTGTCTTGCTTCTAATGTGATACTCTTTGTCCCTGCCTCTTGCACTTTACATTTTGCATCAACGCTAACAGCATGCCTCGTAAAGAAGACCGGAAAATATGCTTGCCTTTGCGTAAAGTTGGATTGCGCACACATGGTAACAGCTTGAAAATCTTACACCACATTACATATCTATATTTATTCATTCTGCATCTACGATCGTAATTCTTCTTCTCTGCTTCCTGCATTAGCGATTGTGTTAAAAGCTTGGTTATGTCAGAGTATAAGCAAGAATAGTCAATTTGAATTGAAGTTTAGGGATTTCAAATTAACACTTTTCACACGTGCTATGAAAATCTTCAGTAGAACGGCAGCTTGCAAAAGCAGATTACTCTGTTAAACTGAATGTTAACTTCTTCCACATTCAATGTTTTAAAAGCTGTGTTTTGAGTCACTAAATAAATAAGTTACACAATTTAATGTGGATGTCAAAATGTCTGAACTCAAAGTTCTGCCTCAAGATATTTAACATAATATTTAATATTTCCTTTTTAAGTAAACATTCTGCGAAATATAAACATACAATACATTTATTCCGGTCTGCAAAATGCTTTGAATATACCATTTGTGCCGATGATTACTGTCTGGTTATTTTTCCAAACTTTTTCTTCTATCAATTGATATCCACCTGAAATATATAAATAAATTTGTTATTATATATAGCGTATAAACTTATAATGATTGAATAAAGTTATTCAGATGATGGAAAATTTCACAGTTAGGGATTTTTTTTAAAAGTATATCACAGTTGAGTGAAAGTTTATTTAAAGGAAAGACTTAAGACTCTGTTTGGAAGTTAAAATATTATTCTTATATATCTCCCTTCAGAAATGAAAACATGGCTTAGTTAAATTCAAAATATTTCAAGGAAAAATATTAAGACTTCTGCCACAAATGAACGGAAAAATCATTATCTAAACCAAATACATTTAATACATTTTAAATTGATAATTTCTATTTAATCTAGATCCTATATCTAAATCTAGTTTTCTTCATAAAACATTTTTAGAAAATAAAGAATTAATAATTAATTTTAAAGCCTAGTCGATTACATTCGAACAGTTATTGCTTATTGTGCAGTTCTAATAAATAATTTCTCAGAAAAGGTTTCTCATAGTCAACGTATTAAAGTTCTTTACAACATATCTATTAGTTTCATTAAAACTCAGTAACATACTTAACTTCGGTACTTTAATTTACAGCCTTGCTTTCCTTTATTTTAACTTTTATCTTTAAGACACTATATAAATTACTAAGCTTTCTTAAACTATACATCGCACATTGCGCCTTCATCGGCTAACTCCTTATGAGTATGGCTGTGGCAATCCCGATGTACCTTAGTCCTTTAAGGGCCTCACCCTTTCAAGACACACTTCTCCGAGTGACTTTTGGTGAGCACTTCGTCCAAGCGTCTCGAACCAAATGAACGGACCTGTAATCTGATAAATTGTTTACATCAATCAGAGCCGGACTGACACCTCGCCTCCGTTTGTTTGCAAAATGGATATCGACGTGCAAATTGCTGTGTGCAAGTTGTTTGCGAAGCACTTTCCAACGATTTAATTTCTGATCTAGAAAGAAAATAAAGAGAAGAAAAAGAAATCAAAACGTGACTGGGTAGCTCGTCTTGATGAATTGGGAGCATTAAATTATCTTTTAAATGGCTATTGATATCTTTCACCCATTCTGATGAAGTTTTTGTAACTTTTGGGCGAGGATATCCAAAGTTACAAAAACTTAATCAGAATGGGTGAAAGATAATTTGAAACTTTATTGGAAATGGTCACTCCACTTATTCAGGGGGAAAAAACCGTTCTTTCGAGATGTTCTGCCAGCAAAATTAAAATGCAGATAGAGCTTCGATTTCTGGCGACGGGTGACTCTACAGTTCTCTGTAATATTTACTTCGAGTGCCAAAATGCACAATCAGCATATTTATTCCAGAAGCATTTGATGCCATTTTCTGCATATGAGGTTCAGTGAAAATTATTAATCTTTTGCTTGAACTCTCCAACACCTTGAAATTTTAACATTTTAATAATAGCCTCATATGCCTTCTGTCGGCGATTTTTATTTTATTACTTCCGACTGATCGTTTGTAATTTGTTTTTCAAATAAAAAGGAAAGTCTATAAACAAAATTTCAGAATTTTAGATTATATTTTATTAGATGTAACTGGACATGAGTAAAAACTGGTTTTTCAAAATTTCAACAAAATAAAATGTTTGCCCTTTCATTTATTTTTTTAATTGAAAACTGTGTTTTATTGGGTAGCTGAATTATTTTATTGGGTAATTGAAAAACGTATAATTTAATGGGTTTTGATTAAAAAAATTCAGAAATAAATATGTTTAAAATAAACATGTTGAATCCGATATCCTAATTTCATTTTCTTCTATGTTTTTTCCTACAATATCAAAAACCTAAATTTATTCTGATCAGTAGTTATATGCACGTTAGAGTTAGGTATTAGTAATGTGTGTGTGTGATTATGGCAAAGCCTCGAGGGCTATCTGTCTAAGAGGAGGGATGCCTTCGTGGAGGACTTTCTAAGGGAAACTGGCTCGTATACACGTTACACATGGGGAAAACCACGAATACACCCATGCAGCCAGCCCGTTCGCGAGATTCGAACCTCGGACCGACTACCAGTGTTCAGCGACTTTACCGCTCGGCCGCTGGTGAGCCAATTAGGTATTAGTAAACAATGGTCGTAATATTCAGGTAATGAAGAGTCCCATAACACTTCACAAGATGCATGTGCATTAAAAAATGCCACAGTTAGATTATCGCTCCATCTCGGGATTGGGAACGACGTCTCGAGACATCTGTAAAACATCTGTTGTTCATATAGTTTCTATTATTGAATGAGGTTTAGGTTTCTTATTTTGGGCAATGCTACTTGTAAAAAAAATGATATCACACCTATTAGGCATTTATAATGTCTGAGTGAGTCATCCGTGGAAGAACAGTGAAACGAACTTGCATAAATTGCGGTCTTCATATCTTACGCATTTATAACTCACTAATAGTAAAAAGTATTAGTCGTGGAAATTAAAATAACGGTTCTCAAATGTTTACCTTTTTACTGACATTTAAATGTCCCTTTAAATGTCAAAAAAGGTAAACAAGCGTATTCAAATGCTTATGCTTCAAAATATTCTAAGATTGCTATAAATCGACATCAATCACTTTAAAATGTAACCTTTAATATGTACAATATTTACAGATGATCAATCATAGCATTCGGTGGTTCGGCTATAAAACAAATCTATGTGCTTTCGCAATCGAAATCTTTCAAATAGGAACCGAAGTATTCCTAATCAACTAGTTTGCGAAGCATCAAACATCCATCTATCGAGCTGCCGGTTGAAAGTCTATGGAAATTCGGAAGGCACGTCGCATTTAACACTCGATGCTCCATATTCTATCAATTAATCAAAATAATTTTCACAGCTTATAACGTCCTTAAAAATAATTTTAAGCACAAGTGGTTTTTTGTAGACAATAGAGTTAATACCGTAGAATATTATCATATGAAAATTTTATTTCCCAATTTTTGGTCGATTTTTGATAAAACTTACCACTGTCTCCTTAATGACTCGGCCACTGGTGGGGCCACTACAGGATCGAATAAGACACTTTCGCAAAATCAAAGATCTGAAATTAAACTTATAAATAATAATGAAATTCTTTTTCTTTTCGGGATATAAAATCCTCCTGCAAACTCGAATCCAGTCCTCTTACAAGTTAAATATTTGGCACCAGCTAAGGAATTGCGTCAAAAATGACTGGACACGAAGCTTTATCCCAAAGAATGATACTAGGGATAATGTCGTCTACGTATTGGTCTTTCTTTAGCAGTTTGATACATATTTATGCCATAAAATCATCAAAAACATGGATCTCAAATATTAATTTTTTTTATATTTTAATTAATTTATGTATTTAAGCAAGTATAAATTTTCTTTTACTTCTACTATCAAAGTTCTAAAATTTGTTTCTGTGATACGTCCTGTTTTCGTTTAAGAATTTTTCACTGCGTTGTTTTTATGATTTCTAATACGTTATACTTCTCTACGTTTCTTAAGAACAATGCCGTTTGTATCGTTACTAATAGTGGGTTCTCTTTCGTATCAAATCTAGAGTATAGCATCTTTTAAAAATGAGGTAGCACTTCTTTTTGAACGAATAACAGAAATTACGCAACAATATTCTCCACAATTTTCTTACTTCAACTGCAATGCGGCTGAGTGGCGTAGAATGGCATAAAGCAGTTATCTCGAACAACTGTCGAACAATGTGTACACGATTTGTCTTAAAAATGACGCGATGTTGTTTTTGTTGGGGGAAGGGGGAAGCTGAGCGAAGCATGTTCAGAAAAAACGAAACGTGGGGCTCGAACACATACTGTAATATTTCGCAGTAGAACTGTAAAGCCTGGTTCTGAAAATGGTAGAGATGTTGAAAACCACTTAAACGGGAATGCTGTTTTGTTTTCAATCCAACTTCTGAAGCAACGGATGGACAGAAGGGAAAACACAGAGTATCATCAGTGTGCTTGACATTCTTCAAGAATTCAGGATGAGTTCGTACAGATTCTCAAAGACTTAAGAAAGCAATGCGCACAGCAATCGTGAAATTCAAAACATATATTCATTCACCATGTCCACATATCCATCCACCATTACTTGTAGGGGAATTCTTTATTCGAAAAATATTGCAAAGCTTCTCAAGTTATCGTACAAAGCTGATTTGGCTTGCAATTCTCTTATTCTCCAAGATTAAAATAAACCTCGAAAGATATCATTTTGGAATAGTTAATAACACCCAGCAGATGCTAAGAAGGATTTTAACAATAATATTTTAAATGCAGAATTCCATAATTACGAAAAGTGGTAGAAAATTTTAATAATTCTCATTATTTCTATTGCATCCACTACACTGGGCAAGGTACACGAATTATTCATATTCAACGGTCATGAATGCATTTGAAGTCATGAATGTGCAATAAACTTCTTTTGTCATAGAATCGTTTTGATTCCACATATGCGACTTTAATTTTAATGCGTGCATTCGTATGGAACGCAGATATGCGTCAATCGTGCACAAAAGCATGAGATACACGAAGTCAATATTTTTGCTAAAACAGTCGGTGTTAATTTAGGAAGTATAATTATGGAGTAGTCTGTACAAAAAATATTCTTACGATGGCAGTGATGAGCTCGTTTTTCAGGAAAACTTCTAAACATCCGGTCCTGTTGGGTAAGGTCCAGGAGGATATGCTCCAGGTGGTATAGGGCCCTGGAAAGAAAAGGTACATAAAGTTGCCATAAAAATGATAGAAAAAATGTAATTAAATTTAAACAATTAAAATCTCCCTAAGCTACAAAACAGTTTATCGCAGAAACCGATATCCAAACATCGATTATCTAAATTCCTTAAAGTTTGTCAACAATTATTACTGAAAAATACGACAAATGTAACTTACAAGCGAAAACTGCACGGACGAAACCGTCGTAGAAAAAACAATGCGAGAAAGAAAAGTTGTCCTACATAACATTTTGTGAGAAAAGAAATAAAAAAGAAAACATCATGATGTAAAAACATCGTACTAGCAAATAATCCGATTCAAAATCTCCGCAGGTTTAAATCGTCGTCCTACAAAATTTTGCGGTTAAAAATAAAGCACCTGAAAATCATCACATGATGATAACATTGCAACCATATGTTTTTCTGAAGGAAAAAAATTTTAAGTAAATTTTTGCGTATTACAAGAAAACAAAAAAAAAAAAAAAAAAAAGATAAAGAAAAACAAGTGAATACAAGAAGAAATAAGTAATATTTTTACCTCTATATTTCATATTTTTTTTATTAAATAATAAATGTTTACTGAGAGGCAAGATGGAAACTTGAACATTCAGAATCTGGAAATTAGTAAAAATTAATGCTACAATATTTTAAACTTACGAATTTTTCCAATTTTGTATTCTACATTTTTCATGAAAATCTACTAATACGTATTTATAAAAGAGGTTAATTAAATAATGATCTTTAATACTTAGCAGTGCATAAATATCGCCGTTACCAGTCTTAAAAACGAAGTAATTTTCAGTGCAGCTGGTAAATTTTTAATAAGACACATTTCTCATTATACCACTTTTCTGTTACTGCTTTATTTTTAAAACTACTTGCAGCGTTTAATATAAAATCTTCTAAATATATGTCACTAAATGTCAGGATTTTTTTCCCAAGCTAAAATTTTAAGGCACAAGCTCAGCAACACAAAAATGCGTGCACAATAGATTATTCTTTGCTTTTGGAAATAAACAAGTAAAATTGGGAAAAAAATCCAATAATTTAAAAATTGAATTAACTTATTGAATTATTCGGGTTAGATTTCATCAACAATGAATAAGAAATAAAATAAGTTATGTACGCTATTATCACGCACATTTATTCAAGCGGTATCAATTATACAGGCAAAAAAGCTATTTACAATATTTTTATAAAGTTACAAAATCATAACATTTTAAAAACTTACGCCTCCGGGGGGTGGTCTCCATCCACATCCAGGCAATGGTAAACCATCGGGTCCTAGAGGGCAGGGGGCATCGAGTCCAGGTACTCCCTTAAATAAAAATAAAGAAAATTCCAGTTCATAAAAAATAAGAAGTCAGAAATAATAGTGAATGTACAGGTTACTTTCTAATTTTTTTAAATATTTTTTATGTGTGTGTGTGTGTGTGCTTGTTACAAACTTCTCCTGTAATGAAAGAAATAGTAAGCAATTTGAGCTTTTCATATATAATAGACAAATTCACCTGTTGAAAATTGTACAATAAAAAGCCATAATAACACAAAATATACATACTAAATATGGCAACCTTGGGGCTTAGTAATTGCCGAAAGACAGAAAATGGCGGAAAACGGATTGCTATCAAATAGGTTAAAAAAGCAAAATATTCTTACTTCACTGGGACAAAATATAAAACCTCTTTTCCCGCAAAATTTAAACTTAAATTATTTTTTATGTACTTAAACACACAACCCATTTCTATACCAACTAAAATAAAATAAAATTCCTTTTTCCTTACGTAAACCCTAATATATGAAACAAAGAACACTATATTTGCAGAAGTTTATAAATGATTTTCCATAAATATTCGGCTCACCAGCGGCCGAGCAGTGAAGTCGCTGAAAACTGGTATTTCGGACCGGGGTTCGAATCCCGGTGAACAGGCTGGCTGCATGGGCGTTTTCGAGATTTTCTGTGGGTGTAACATGTATACGAGCCAGTTTCCTTTAGAACATCCTCTACGAAGACATCCCTTCTCTTAGGCACGTAGCCCTCGAGTGCTTTATCATAAACAAATAAACCCAAAAAAACAAACAATTAATATTCACAAGTTTGGCTGGATAGCTGATTATGACAACGCATGAAAGGTATATTTTCTTATGTTATCCTGGACATAATTACTAAGGGACTACATGAAAGATACTGCGCATTTTTCACACGTAACAGGAGAAAACTACAAAATTTCCATGTAACCAGTCCTTTCTCCGGCAACAGAACCCAGCGCGAACTATCAGTGTTCAGTATCCCTCAGCTATTGGAAAAGCTAACACTAATGAATTATATATTTACGGAAAATTGCAGGCTTTTCAATGTTTCGAATATATTCACCTAATTTAAAGCTTATTAAAAATATATTCGAAGAAGTATTATACCTTTAGATTATTTAAATAATCGACATTTTAAAAAAACGTGGAAATATTTTTATAACAATTCTAAATTTATTTAAAGAGAATAATAAGCAGACAGAATAATTGGAGTTTTATTGTACCATGCCATATTATCGTTCAATTAAAATCACAAAAATATTAATAAGAAACTAAAATAATTTAGCAACAATTTAAAATTTACAACGTTACACCACCTATAACAATAACTGGAGTTCCAAATAACGGTCAATTTGTTATGTAGAATATGTATCTTTTCATTAGGTTTAAATAAACAACAGCAACAAAAACAACAATAACAACAACAAGGAATAAAATCTGAAAGGTTTCGGATTTTAAATTACGTCTAAAGGGGTGTTTATTTAACGTTTTGTGTGTTACCTTTATTTATTAAATATCATGTTCTTTTCACTTAAACGGTAAAATTCAGTTCAATAGCAATGTCGCAAAATAATTTTAAAATGAGCCTATCTTTAGAATTTCCGATACACAGTTCCGCGCACCGTAGATAAAAAGGTTTTTTTTCCCCGTAGAATGCTGCCATTGCTCGCTTTGAAATCCTTGAATTTGTTAATCAAAAATTCGTTAAAGTTTTACAAAATATGAAATCGATATTAAAAAAATTACAAATTACAAATTCGGGCTTTTACATGCCCATATTCGCAGTAGGATTACGTCATTCAAAATTCGATTGCTCTATATACAGCCATCGACTTTTTAGCCAACTATACATATATGTATCGTTGCTTTGAACGATACATATATGCCAACGATACATATATGTATCGTTGGCTTTGAACGATACATATATGCCAACGATACATATATGTATGTATTTATGTATACTTTAGCCAATGATAGATATATGTATTGTTGGCTTTGAATGAATTTTAAATATATAGAGCCAACGATACATATATGTATCGTTGTTTTATCACAATGCGAGAAATATACGTACATTTATGCAGATTTTTCATTATTTAATTTCTTCAAATGTAATGCAGGACTCTAACATTTGGTGGCAACAGTTTGAAAAGTGAAACGGACATTTATAGTGATTCAACACAAAATCGCAAAACGAAAACAATAGTCCTTCAGGGACAAAAGCCTCTTTGGACTAAAAAAAAATTAATCAGCCCAAGAACATAAAACGATCCGAATAAATGAAATGCTGTGTATTGTTCTTTTTTATCTTCGCATTATATTTCAATAAATGTTAAATAAAAATACATGTAAATGAATTAATAGAAGTCTCAAATTTATTTCAGATAGAAAAACCAGCAATCCGTGTGCTTGGATTTTGAGCAGTTTAAGACCCATTGTAATTAGTAGGGTTTTAATGTTTATGAAATCTGTCATTACTTATTTTGCACATATTCAAAATAAATTAAAAAGCACTCACTTGATCGCCTTTTTCTCCTTTTTCTCCTCGTTTGCCTCTTTTCCCTCGTAAACCCTGAAAAATAAAGCAATATACCCCAGCCGTAGACAAAATATTATTAACAATAGATAATTAAGCATTCCACAGTTTAGGTTTAAATTCATTTTTAAAGCGAATGCGTACTGGAGACACTAAGCATAAGAAATTAAACGCGAACTCGACATGCAAGTATTAAAGGAGCATATGCAAAATGATCGAAAATTCATAAACGTAATAAAAGCGCATGCCATTGAGCTTACAGCGTGTAAAAACTCAGAGCAGAATACTAGTTGTATACATTGTTATTATCCCCAAACTACAGATCACGGGCTGAATCCGGCACGCAATTAAAATTTATACAGAAGAACAAAAAATGATAAAACGACAGGCTTTCCGAAAAATTTAAAGAAAATTCCGATTGCGCCATTTTTCATTTCTCCTTCCTACTCACTTACAGGCATTCGCGTGAAAAGTAGTCTCAATTATTTTGTTTATTTAGCATTATTCGTAGATATTGGGATTTGTTATCATTGGTTAAAATTTAAAAAAATGATTATAATGTTTAAAACAAAATAACTAATTATAACAATCACTTGAAAGCAGTGATATATGAATGCATATGCCTATTGTACAGCTATTATACACAGAATTTTGCTAGCTAACCAACGCGATTCTGTAAAGCGTACTGTTATATTGTGCATTGTTAGTCTACATTTATTTCTAATGATTGGAAAGGGAAAAAATGGAAAATGTAGACTGAGTGCAATGAATCAAGGAACAATAGACTGATAACTACTTCCTAAGTGAATCTAGTAAAAAAATAGTGTGTCTGATTTGCAACGAAACTATCACTGTGTTAATTGTTAAGTTATATTTTGCGATAAAAATATCGTGGGTGGAAACAACATCAAATAAACAAGTAAATATTGTAGCGGAATATCAAATAGTCACATAACCCAGCGCCTCTAGATTTAGGTGTACCTTTCAAGATTATTTGCAATAAATGAAAAATCAAATTAAAAAATACTTCAGGATAATTTATGTTTCTGTCTTTTGATGCTTTTACTACAGCGTAAGCAATTTTATCGAATTTTCTATAAGAAATAATAAATAATATGTAAAAAGGTTAAATGTAATATACGTTATTACATAAATGTAATAACTTTACGTAATAACATTTACGATAGCATACGATAAAATAGAGAGCATTTTACGTTAAAGTATGATCTAATTTGAATAAAACAATAATATCTGTTTCAACAAATCTTATCTTTGTTGATTGCGATAATTAGCATTGCGCATAATTAGGAATTACTATTGGCCTTTTAGAAAACTTTTCGCGGTTAGCAGATCATGAATGTTTATTTTGTGCAGTACTAAATTCCGATCATTGTAGAAATTAAAGCTATTATCAGAGTAGACAACAAACTTCTGTAACGCTAGAAATTTTCAGAAATTTTTTTTCTTACGCTTAGGTTACCGTCTTCAATCGGACAGCAAGACGTCCTTTATCGATGTCACTAGCGTAAAAGGGCTACTTATCCTCCGCCTTACTTCTGATTAGCCGAGCTACTCGCAATAAGCAATGTTTTGAATCTCGAAATAAAATATTTCATGTTCATCCTCCACATTACTTACTCCACATTACTCACATCCACACATTACTGGTTAGCAAGCTACTCGCAACAAGCAATGTTTTGAACATCGAAATATAATGTTTCATGTTTCAGTCTACGTTTATAACTGGTTTTGCGAATAACGACGATTTGTAAATTCTTAAAAAAACTTAACTATTTAATATACAGGGTGAGCACAAACTTTCCTGACTTCAAGGTGTCACAAAATTAACAGTTACTTGGGTATGTTGATAAATGTAATATCCACAACTCAGTTAACTCAAATATCTTTCATTTCTTTTCTTTGCAGAATTGCTACGCATGACTTCGACTGCTAGAGGGCAGTGACATCGAAAATGGCGTTCACACCGCAGCAACGAAGGTGGTGTGTGTTACAATTTGCAAATACAAGCAGTGTTGTGAGAGTTCAGAGTGAGTTCAAACGAGACTTTGATGTTGATCCATCTATACACAAATCCATTTTGAAATGGCATAAAACATTTAGTGAGACAGAGTGCATTTGTGATAAAAGAAAAGGACATTCTGGCCGACCTTTCGTCTCGAAGGAAATTGTTATCCCCAAATCTGAATGATCTTCAAGAAAGCATTAGCGCTGCTGTCAACTCAATCACACGGGATATGCTTCAAAACGTGTGGTTGGAACTGAATTACCGCATCGATGTTTCCCGCGTAACAGGTGTCGCGCACATCGAGTGTTTGTGATTCAAATCAACACCATCAAAAAGTTTATGAGTTTATGTAACTATGTTAAAAATTTGAAAAATTTGGGCAAGATAGTCCTTTCGGTATTAAAGTTATCCCCTTTCGAAACCGGGGATTGTTTTTGTGCTCATCCTGTATATTGCATATCTACGCAAATTAAAGTTTTATATTTTTATAATATATCTGATTTTAATTATATGAAACCAAAAATTTTTTAACATTTATAGCAACTCATAAAAGAAGTTTCAAATTCCTTATTACACACTTTGTTACAGAAACATTTGATTTTACAAGTAGCATAAAATGCTTTGAAAGAGAATGCATGGATAATACACAAAATAGATGACTGAGAATTAGGAATTTTATAAAATCACAAATACCGTATGTACTTGCGTATTTTTACCTCTAGCGTTTTAGCACAACATTCTAAAAACTTTTTGAATAGTCAAGTAACTTTCTTCTTCAAAATGTTCAAAAAAAGAGTTTTCTTAAATTTAAAAATAGATTCATCCACGCAGTGATTATTTCCGTTTCACTAATTGAGTTATTTGTGAGTTAGGCTGCATAATCTCTGATTGGTGAAGCAATAATAGTGAAGAACTTAGGAAATCTCGGATACTATTCATGGTTCTGGAGATCATTGTCTGTAGGAAGACAGTTTGAACGATAACGAAGATGTGGCGACGACTTAGAAGCTGTAGCAGATTACATTGAGAGCAGTTCCGGAAGAATTAAATAATTTGAGGATTATGGAGTAGCTAGCAGTGGACAATAATAAGAGCTGATGAGGTTCAAGATACAGAGAAGCAAGGTGTCTTTTAAATAACTACAATTGGGGTAGTTACCAGTAGTTTATACATAGATACTTTTCATTTGCAATTTACTGGTACTGTCTGTTTCGAAAATTAAATTATTTGCATAACCTTTTCCTCTCAAATTTTGTGCGATAAAATTGGTACAAGCAACGCGAGTAAACACGGTATTTCGTACAATGCTTAATTTCAGCCACAGCCTGACTTCGATTTCTTTTTTTTTGAAAAATATCGCGTACGAATCCCAAGTGAGATTATTTTGTTATGAAATTCCTTTATAATACGAAGTTCTGTTATTTAAGAAAAATTTCTTTCAGAAATTAGTAGGCCTAATAGCGATACAAGCTGCTAAATGTACTCATATGCCTCATTTTCCCTGGCTGCTACAAAATACGCGGGAAACCTACAACAACTATAGAAGAGATCTCTTCACGTAAAATTACAATCTTTTCACAAAGTAGAATATTTATAAGTTGTATTCATCTGGGTAAGAAAGGTCTTTTAAAAAAATTAATTTCGTACTCCGCCGTTAGACGTTACATGGAAGAGAAGGGATGCCCCGTGCAGATGTTTTTTAAGGGAAACTGGCTCGTATCAATGTTACACATGGAGAAAACCACGAGAACGCCAATGCAGCCAGCCCGTTCGCTAGATCTACAAACCCCGGACAGAATTACCAGTGATCCGCTGATCCGGCAAGAAATCAAGTCCATTACAAAGCAAAAAGCCATTTTATTCAAGCGCAAAAAGTATAGATCTTATCTTTTTCACGGTATCATTAATTTATCCGCCTTCTATTCATTTTATTATTTCATTGAAATTTATGGTACTTTTAATGTATTATTTGTCAACTTATTATTATTCTAGTTGCGTGTGACGATATTTACTCATAAACTGCTCCAAAGAAACTACTCCCTTAAGGAATTAAATGTAATTGACTCTTCATTTCTTTCACTTCTATTAATTAAATATCACTGAACTCGAGCGTTGGGAAGAGCATGATCTAATGTATCTACTGAACTTATTTATTAGGGATAATTTTAAAGTTTTTTCAGACTGCCCCTGTTTCGTTATTCCGATATTCGGTATACACCTCTATACTACATTTTGTGATGGTCACTGTGTGCGTGATGCACTTGGTATGCCAAGACACATGATGACACAAGATGGTGCAAGAACACAAAATTGAACAACTATACTCTTTTGCATTTGATCATCACACCGATACTTCTCAGTCAATCAGCAAACACACATATAATTTTAATTACTCAATATGCATTTTTTTATTTCTTATTATTTCAGTTATTTACTTCCCTTAAGATTTATGATCAACTTCCATTTAACTACGGAAGTTCAGAAATTAAATCACGAAGTTAACATTAGTATACTACCGACAAACCTCAGATACTGCAACAGGTGTCAAAACGGTCAAAAATGGTCGATTACTGACTCTGAATAGTGTCGACCTTAAATGGAAACTACACGCACACTAGCTTAAAATAGATTGAATAAAAATTACAAAGTAAGGCGTAATATCCAGCAAATAATAGCATATTAAAATAACAGCCTTATGTTTATTTTTTACAAATATATAACATATTAAAATAACAACGCCGCCCAACCGGTATAAGAGTTAGCGTCGCTGACTGCCGTGCCGAAGGGCCCGAGTTCGAATTCCGGAGAAGGCATGGATGTTTGTAAATGTATAGTGTGCGTGCGGCATGGGAGGCCTTCTAAAAATTTCTAGAGAGGTTGGTGGCAGGGGAAGAGGACTGCGAGGCCTTCGGAACCGTCCCACCGGGGTACTCTCCATCAAAATTGGGGGCGAAACTGAGCTAAATCGCACTGTCAACTGTAAGGTGCTCAAGACTGTTTCCAACAACTGGCGTAAACTTGCACTTCTTGCCACGATAAATTTCGTGTGCTTGGGCTGACTATAGGTCAGCCAAGTGAGCATTATCAACAACAACAACAAAATAATAGCATTTTCATGCTTTGCTAAAAACGTAGCCTGTTATTGAGATGTCTAGCTATTATACATATTGCCAACTTTTCACACATTGTAGGTAACATATCCATATATGAAAATAAAAAGATGATCTGGAAAGAAGGTTTCATAAGTCGTGTATTTTATCGCTGTAGTCCAAAGTATCTAATTTTTCATAGACAGTCGTAACGTAATTTTTCAGTAACAATGTTATTCTATGACATTTACAGGAGAAGAAAATTAATATTATTAATCACTCACCGCTGGTCCAATTTCACCTTTTTCCCCTTTTGGTCCCTGAAAATAAACAAACAGCATAGTTATAAATAAAATTAGATATAAACCTAGTTCTCATGATGCAAAAACAGGCACTAAGACTTTCGTAACGTGGCTAGACACAGAAACATATAAAAGTTGCATGCAGATATCCAACAAAATGGCAAGACAGGCATGGCAAGACGAAGTAAAAGAGAAAGTAAAAGAAACAAAAAAAAGCAGCAATAAAAAGAAGCGGCGTGCAAAAGAAGAGAAATTTCAAAAAAACTACTGGGTGGTTGGTCTATTTTCTGTTTAGTGATTAGTAAGTTTTTTTTAGCCACATTAAAACACGGACTTGTATAACCAGCACCCATACGGTCCTCGATAGTTACCGGCAAGCCAGGAATTCCGTCAGTCCCCTGCACAGAGAAAGAAAATTAGATTAAAAAATAAACACACAGCTTTCAGTTATGCCACACAAATGAAATTCACCATTTCAAAGTATTTGCAACTAAACCTAATTTGTTTAGATCATGCTTCTTCTAATAATTTTCGGGAAAAGCATAGTATATACAATTTTGACAATTTACAAATTTAAAGGTAGAATTTTTCGCCTTTTAAGCATTCTCCAAGCATAAAAACTAAAGCAAAAATTAAACATAAATATGAAAAGTTTGGTTTTCCTTTTTACAAATACCCAAATAACTAAGCAGAATCTGCATTAGAATTTTCATGATAAAATAAAATAAGAATGGGATGTATTTTTTTAACAGATGAATGCTTTGCAATTCGAAAATAAGTTTATAAATTTTACTTCAGGAATTCTTTTGCAGAACGTTTATGTGGACAAATAAATGTAAATTTAGTACATACAATTACATTATAAAATTTATTTACGACAGTTTCCTAAGTTTCCGCGACTAGCATCTTTTAAACTACTTACTTAATGTTATTTATCGAATGTTATTTATCTTGCCATTCATTATGTATACTTTATTATGTACCATTATTATACAGGGTGTACCGTAAATGTTGCGACAAACTTCTAGGGGAGGTAGGACACATCATAAAGATTAAGAATTGCATAGGAACCCATGCCCAGAAATGACAGGGGTAGCAGAGGTAGAAGATGGGAAAAGAAACAAGAGTGATTAATTTGAAACATTTAACATTTATTGGACATGAATACAAATGATGTACAACAGCTTGAATGTTACAACAGATGCTCGAAGTTTGTACCATCAGACGCCAAACATGCCTGACATCAATGGACCGTTTATTGCCGGACATGTTCAAATACATCGGGAGTTTCTTTTGATTGTATCAGCTGCGCAAGTGAGTCTTGCCACGAGATTCATTTCAGACACAGCAGGATCGTGAAACGCGACACTTTTGATGGCTTCCCACAAAAAGAAATCAAGGTTTGATAAACCTGGTGAGCGTGGGGTCCAGGGAACTGGTCCACCACGCCCACCACATCCATCGATGCGGGAATGATCTGTTCAAATGGCTACGAACATTCAGTTCAAAATGAGAAGGGGCCCCATCATTTTCGAATCATATGTTGCGCCTCACATTTGGTGGAACATCGGGAAGAACCTGATCGAGAAAGATCAAATAATTCGCGGCATTCAAATGGTCCGTCAGTGTCAGGCATGTTTGGCGTCTGATGGTGCAAACTTCGAGCAACTGTTGTAACATTCAAGCTGTCGTAAACTATTTGCATTCATGTCCAATAGATGTTTCAAATTAATCACTCTTTCCCCATCTTCTACCTCTGCTACCACTTACCCCTGACATTTCCGGGTATAGGTTCCTATTCAATTCTTAATCCTTATGATGTGTCCTATCTTCCCTAGAAGTTTGTCGCGATATTTACGGTACACCCTATAATGATTCTCGATATATATAAGACATACATTAGCTTGAACTCTTTTAAAAAAGGTTAAAAAAGGTTCATGTTTTGTGAGGTATTTACAAAGGTGTAAAGCCATTTTTTAAACTTAGACTAGCTATTACAGTAAAGAAATAACTGTTTGTATTCTGCACTTTTTATTAAAGCTTTTCTAAAATCTGCGGTATACCTTCTAGTCAATACTAAAAATCATTTATAGCATTCATTAAAACATTTACGAAATTCATTTTTCATAAAATTATCCGAAAAGTATCTAATGTTATTTTTAGGTTTAATTATTTGACTTTGTTTAAACGTCCAAATTTGCTTTTGGGGCCTGTCAAGAAGAGCGATGATTTCTCTAAATTCCAAGTAGTTTTAAACATCTTGCAGGAAACGTACTGTTTATTTAAGGCATGGCAACAATACAAAATTCGTATCATCATTACTGAAATCACAACTTAAAATATATAATCGCAGTGACCGACACTTATATTATTTTTAAATGAGCGCTTCCATAAGAGAACAGAATGACCAAAACCAACGGCGGTCAGTTTAGAGGGGTTTAATTTTATATGATTTATATAAAACTATTGACGAGACATTCGAATCCTTTTACCTTGAAAATTATTTCAAGAGTTCGCAAACGTCATTCGAACCTTCCGATTCCTAACTTGAAATATTCGTTAAATGTTTTAATTTAAAACTGGGAAAATTAGATTTATTGTAATTTAATAGAAGTTTTGATTAGAAAACATACGCGATTGTCGCAATTTTAGTCTCTATTACCGATATCATCTCGTAACGAATAGGAATATCGCACTCGAATTTAGTGCTCCATATTTAAAGACCATTTCCATTATTAACTCTTGCCAATTATTTCCTCCCTCTACATTTTCTCTCAAATACCCAGTAAAAAATTTGAAATATTATTCAAATATTTTTTGTCAAGTTGTGTTCAGCAAATGAACCTCAAAACTCTTAAAATTTGTTTTTCATGAAACGCGGATTGCAGATTTCAAACTTTGCTTTAATTAAAACTTCCAGTATTAAGTAAAAGATTTTTTTAATTTTTTATTTTCGAGAGATCCAAGAAAATTCATCTCATATTTATTTAAAATCTTGCTTATTTAATCTGTTACATACATACGAAATTTTTATCTTCTTTTCTTCCCTTGAAAAAAAAAAAATAAAAACTGTAATAAGTTTAAACTTACTGGTAATCCTGGTTCTCCTTTGTCACCTTTTCTTCCTTGGTCACCTCTCTCTCCCTAAAAATATAAACATAAAAAACGGCGGTATTAAAAGGAATTAACTAATTAAAATATACGCTTTATCTCAATTACTGAAATGCTATTTGCATTGTTTCAATTATTAAACAATAAAGTTCAAGTTTCTTGTTAGCTTTAAATAAATTACCTATTTGTACAATTGCGAAATTACAAAAGGGGTATAAGCATAAATCAAGTGTTTCTAATTTATTAATTATTTCATCCAAAAGAAATGGAATCCTATAGAAAGAAACTTATAATTCGCATGTGAAGAATATCAGAAATATCGACTGAATAACATGTACGAATTTGACCCCTGGTGGAACTGCTAAAATTATGTGACTGAGTAAAATCATTTAAAAAAAAGAAAAAAAGATGAAAAAAATTATAAATTAATGAAAAAAAATTTTAATGAAAATGTGTTACACAAAAGTGATACACAAAAATTTAGTTTCATTACATTAAAAACATAAATGTGAAAGTGAGTTATTGCTAGCTTCTGAAGCGTCATTATAAAGCAACATGGAAGTTGCAGAGAACTGGAATCATCATCCATATACCGTAAATTAAATCAAGTACCATAGTTTCATGGCTAACTGCTTAATACTTCCACTGTTGATAACACAAAACAAAATAGTTTATTTCAGTAGCGTTTCACTGCATCGTATGACCATCATACAGACACGACTGAAGGAGCACTCAAACGACGTAAGATCCATTTTGTGGCCTTCCTTCTTTTCGCATTCAGTTTTTAGTGAATCTGTCTGGCAATGCTATTCATCGAAGCTTTCAAATCAGTCGCCCAAGATAGGCTTCTATGTGTCCAAGATAAGCTTCTGAAAGAGGCTTCTTGATTTCTTAATGAGTATTCTTCAGGATAGTTCTCAGAAAAGTAATGATTTGTTGGACAGATTCCGTGCATAAAATAATGTTTCCACTCAGGAAAATTATAAATTACTTTTAGTGCAGGTAAGTCTATTTTTTTTGTCGAGAAATTTATTACGATTAGTATAAATATTACTATTACTTCCTTGATAATTTTGTTAGACAAAATCCATTGAAAACAAAATAGTATAAATTGAATAGGAGGTCATATGACAAAGTTTCTAATTAATAAGAAGAAACGGAAGCTGTGGAAATTCAGTTCTAAATAACTAAGTATGAAGAGAGCGAAAACGTCAGCTTACACATACCAGAAAAAACTTTTGATGACTATAATTAAAACATTTTTCTAGACAAAACCAAAACACACATTTTCCATGTAACTTATCAACTTCCACTTTTGACAGCTTTGCCATCTTCATGTCAGTATAATACCTTAAGGAGATTTAAATACGATATATGTACTTTTTAACAATATTTATTTTTAACTTTTTAAATATATCTAATTCATAACTTTAATAAGTATTAACAAATAATATTATGAATCAGGTATACTACGTATTATGTTTTCTTAAAGCAATTATCAAAATATTTTTAATACCGCGTATTACATAGCCCAACTAAGAATTATTATTTAGTGTCGTCTTCTAACGAGGCTTTTTTTAACTACTGACGGGCTTATTCATAAAAGAAAATAATGAAATAAACTTTTGCAATTTTGTACAAAATATTTTTTATAAATTAAAAAATTTTAAGTACTGAAAATTCAGAACGGTACTAAAATATTCTAGAGAACTCGAAAATTAGAAATTCTTCTTCCTCAATTCAAGATTCAATAAAATCACTTAAGAGATTTTTTGGCGGAATTTCTGAATTTCTCGAGTAACTATACTCTACTTTTTCTTAAAAAATGGTACAAATTTGTATAAAAAATATTTGAGTAGGAAAATGTATATTTTTCACAATTCTGGAAATTTTTAAAAACAAATTAAAATTTATTTTTTCTTCAGAAATTGCTGGGAAGAACGCTAGACATAATAAACGCATTTCTGATACACTTCCTTATAAAATACCTTAAATTTGATTTAAGAATAAGAAATGAGGTAACACTTACCTTCATGCCATCCAGTCCAGGTGGGCCCTGCATTTAAACAACACTAATAGTCAAAAATCGATGACGATAAATATACTGAACTAACATCGAAGAAGAAAAGGAAATGAAATAATGGAAATGAACAGAATTCTTTCTGCAAAAGCAAAATAGCTTCGCCTCGTTTAATAAAGAATAGAAAATATAAAACACATGCTAAAACAAAGAAAGCAAAACAAAGGGAAAATGGTCACATTTACATATTAATTTGCGAGAAGACAATGTTCATTTGCAGATTCAAGAATGGTTCTTCAATAGTAAATAATCATTCATAAATATTGCCTACAAACTTTATATAAAGGTAAAATAAGCTATTTATATGAATGCAGATACAACAGAGATATTTCTTAATTATAAAACTGATACAAGATGACCTTAAAAATATTTTCGAAATTATAAATAATATTATTAATAGAAATTCAAATAGAGACATTAATCTGCAAGAAAGATAACAGGACTTGTGAATTTAGTGAATTTAACTACATTATCTGTTTAGGAAAACATAACAAACTTAACAGTTTAATAAAATGTGTGAAGCGGTAAAAAAATTTTAATTGTTCAAGATAATTTTATTGAATAAAATATACTAAATTTTTTTAACATTTATAATTCGTAAAATATTTTTAAAGCTTGAGTATAATTTCATACCCTAAACAAAGTATGATTGTATATATTACTAAAAATTCAATATGTACTTAAACACAATAAAGAATTCACAAAACAAAGAGGCAAGATATATCACATGTAATAGCTCCCACCACCACACATTGAGTATTAGTTAAGCAAGATTAGTAGTAAATATGAAATGTTAAATCAGCCTTTGTTGGATTGAAACAAAATTAGTGAAGGAAACCTAAAAAGAAATTGAGATTAGTATAGGATTTGATAATACATTTTTCATACAAATTTTGTACAGAACATGCAACATAACAGAAAATAAAGTATTAACAACTTCACATTGCAGTACAATTAGACCTCAAATAGAACAACTTTTTATTTATCATGATATAACACATAAAAATAATAAAGAAAAATTTATCCGTAACTATTATACAGTTCAAATATGCTTATCAGTATATCTACTGTAGGAAGGTTCAATCATAGATTGGACAGTTATCAGTATCAATGCACAAACAAAGGCAAAAATATTACGGTGTTTATTGAGTTCACGTAAAATTCGTTAAAATAAGAATGTAGATACATTAAAACAAGTACTTATAGTGATACCTTTACCATGATCCTTAATCTGCCTATGTAGCACTCCTTTTGCTTTACTTATTATGTATTTATTCTTCTTAAAACACACTTATATTGAAATATGAAAAATAATTTCTGTTTCAGAACGTTTAATAGTTTTTTCAAATTAATCTCTATTTAAAAATATTGAAGTACAATAGTGCTGATCTTACACCTAGAACTGGGCAACATTACGTTAATCTAAGCATTTTATTACATTTTGATCTTCAAATTCAACCACATATCAATGAATTGAGATAGAGAAAGTAAAATGTATTATAACATTTACACCATAATTAAGTAAATATTGACTTAGCTTTATATTCAAAACATTATGTTTTGTTTGTCTACAGTCATGAAGTACCAAACTGTACCAACATTTCATATGAATACTGGAACACTTCGTGAGTGGACTGCCTATCCTACAGTTACAGAAGCCTCGAAGCATTAGAGATCACTAATTAAAATAATTGTTAAAAAACTTAAACGGAGCAACAATATTATTTTTAAAATGATCTAACATTCTGCACCTTCTTGGTGATTTGTACAAAGCTTCTCATATGCCTACTATACATTTTGCGCGTTGTTTCGCCATGATTATTTACAATAATTTTGAAAATACACTTATTTCAGGTAGTTTGAGCGCAGAAAGGTGTTTTGTACTTAAAAGGCAAGTACTAGCATATCAGAAACAGGTATATTTATTGGCTATCTACTACTATATCATGCATTAGAAAAGATTAACTGAGAAGAGAATTTACACCATAAAAGTCTCACACTGCCTAAGTGAGTGAGTGCGCCTGTGAGATGGTTTCTGACCACGGAGGTGAACGAAACGGAATTTTATATCATCTCAGCGGGGAAATCTATTATCTGTCGAGATGCGGATAATCAGTGATAATAACAGTCTAGTAATAAGTAAATGATCCCAAAACTTTAGAAGCATAATTACTGTGTGTGAATTCCATAATAAAAAATTACATGGTCACATATATTGTGTGCGCATGCCTATTACCATCAGTAATTCGTCCTGGTAATTCTACACACTCTATTGCAAACTAAAACTAAAATCACGTAACTTACTAAATCAATATGATACTACACACAGGCATGTTGCAAAGTAAATTGCCTAGCTAGCTGTACTACATGTGACTGAAAGTTATCAAGAATAATATCTCAACAATGAATTGCAGCAAACATGTAGTTTACTCACTAGAGCAGCAGTGGTACAATTTGCATACTTCTAAAAGCACTATGTGCGCATGGAAATATTCAAATCTTCCACTGCTGTTACTCTTCTGGGTCATCTTGAATCTCTGCGATTCTATGGCAGATTTGAGGTTACATTTGATGATGTCATCCATCTCAAACAACGCTTTACATGGACAAAGGAATATGAGTAATTAACCCTTGCCAGATGGAAGAACATAATGATGAATGATAATTTCTTTTCTTCTTCATTCATAGCATAAGGGCCATAAATAGCAATATGTTGAACACTTTGGTTGCATAAGTAGAGTTCAACAGGATGTCACACAAGAATATTTTCCTGGCATATGCATTCATTACCTCAAGAACACCTATTGGCGAACCCTGCTTTAAAAAAATTTTCATTCAAATCAATAAAAGATCTAAAACGAGATTTATTTTAAGAGAATAAATGTCTCGTCATTATTCAGTAAAACAGACGCTTTGCCACCTTTTTAGTAGCAAAAACGATTATCATAATCGTCTTAAATCAGATCTGCATTATGTTTACCCACACTTTTTTTTTGTCAGGCTAACAACTTTCCATCTTTTACTGGGATAAACACCTTGCAATCTTTTAAAAGGATAACTAGTTTATTGACATTCGAAATAAAGTTATTGTGGTAAGCTGATTAGGAATTTATCGTATTGACCTAGATTTAAAACTTTTCTCACTATGATTCAAATAATTGTTTACTATATTCTAGTATAACATGAGGGAACTTATACAGTATGCATCTAGTGATAGAACTGCTGCAACCGAAATAAATCGAACAATACATATAATACGTTTTAAAATATGATATGATATGAGGGACGCAGCCCGATCCTTCTGGCAGACTTTACGTCGCCCTATGACCTTTTTGCGGGCTGTGCCAGAGCAAGCTAGAAACAACACCTTCAGCAAACAGACGTAAAGAACTTAATTTATCGTGATTAATCATCTCCATCATTTTCCTGGCAAATTTTTTCAGTCTTTTAAAATCATTTAAAATATCATATATATTAAAAACATCATTTTTTTTAAACTTGTTCCTGATATCAGTAAAATATTTACATGTTCCCACATAATGCTCTGCAGTGCCCGGTTCTTTACAGATATCACAGAGGTCAGACTCTTGTAATTTGAAACTTTTAAAATAGAAAGGAAAACGGCCATGACCTGTAATGATTTGGTTAACGTCAATATCTGAATAACATAAACCTTTTTTAAGTTTAACAAATTTCATATAATCTTTATTTCGATCAGACCTTTCCAACTCCTCCCTCCGTTTATCATAAATATAATTTTTCATAATAGTCACAGCTTTCCTTGTTGATCCCTGTACATCAATATCACGACCATTAACATCGGTAATTGCCTCCTTGGCCAGTGCGTCCGCCCACTCATTTTTAAAATATCGAACGTGTGCTTTCACCCAATTAAACACAATATTTTGATCTTTTCTCTCTTTATATAATTCTCTAATATCTACCACTGAGTGCTTGAAGAACTGTCAGACAGAATAAATATGCATATCATATTTCCCTTTAAGAGTCTTCTTAACCCATTTCAGTGAATAAAAAATAGCCATAGCTTCCGCTTGATAAACTGAGTTATAAATATTGAGTTTAAATTTATTATTCTCAATCTCTGTTCCATAATAATATATAACATATGCGAAAGCAATGGCGTCTCCCAGACCTGACCCGTCTGTCTATTTTTGGAGCACCCAAATAATACGCAATAAAAATTCTTTCAGCAGGGTGAATCAAATTTAAATCAAATTTTTCAAAAGCACACCGTGTTACAATAGAATCTACATATAATTTAAAATCAATATTTCCTGTTCTTAAACGAAATATATGTTTTAAAATATATTGAATTCCATACTGCTACTGCATAGAAGGCGGAAATGTATTATTAGCTGGGAGCTCTTAATGAATAGCAAGTTCGATGTAGTTGCATATACAGTGTTCTGAAGCCATAATGCTGGATTTTTAAAATATAAGTTAAAACGTTCAGTTAAAAACAAATACAAAAATATCAACTGAATTAAAAATGTTTGCGAATAATAATGAGGCTCTCATTGTTATAAAGAATTTCACATTTTAAATTCCGAATTTATTACATTTTATAAAATATTCATTCATTTTGTATGCAAAATGAACTTTTGCTTATTGGAAATTAAACAATTCATGATTTTCTCTAATTCTAGCAAATGCTTAAATGCCGAAAATCTCAGTTCAAGCGTTTCGATAACTTAAAAACTGTCTAATGATTTCGAATAACTCCGATAGTAAAAAGGCTTTAATTTTAAATTTAATTAATTAATTTATTATTATTACTAGTATCTCTCACAGCATAAGTATCTATTTATTGTCCTCACGAACCGTTCGACCAGATTGTACGCTTCTGATGAGATATTATTCAGTCTATTGCAATCTATTTTCTGCATCCTTCTATTAAGTAATAATGGGTCTACATTTTTTCAAATTCGTCAACGCGAATTTAAGTCTTTCTTGAGTAGTATCTAGAAGTTTACAGGTTTAAAATATAGCTTTAGGAAAAGATGAAATACAAACGCTTGAACAGAAACTGTACAGTATTAAAAACTTCTGTGAGTCCAAGTCACAAATAGGAACTGAACACGGGCTACCAAAAAAAAATTAATTTTTTTTTAACTTAACTTATAACCTAGAATCAAGTCTAGAATCATGGAATAAAGAAAAATCTACCAAAGGAAAGCATCGTATGAGAAAAACAGCGCAGAAGATTTAGAGAAAGTCTTAAAATTACGGAGGAAGAAGGCACGAGCAAAAAATTTGCTGGTATGCGGATCTATATTGGCAGCAAGAACAAATGAATTGTTTTGCAGATTTGGCAGCAAAAGCAAATGAATTATTTTGCAGATTGAATTTGCATAGCTTGCAGGTTTTTTCCTTCATCAGAAAACGCCGTATAAGGTATTTCTCCCCCTTTTTGGCATGCCTTCGTGGTGTAGTGGTTCTGCATACTGAACCGGTATTTCAGATGTCCATGGTTCGATTTCCGGCGAAGGCAGTTGTTAATTTTTCAATTCTCCTGTTTCCAAAAATATATACCTAATGTCTTTACAGTGGTGCCTGAACTAAAAGGGTGTTGGATGATGATTCTCCTCCCCCAGGATTTGGCGATTGGGTCCCCTAAAAATCCCAGTCGCCCTTTAAAAGGGGGAGTATATAAGGTATTTCTCCCACCTTCTTTGCGTGCCTTAGTGGTGTAGTGGTTCTGCACACTACGCCGGTATTCCAGAAGTCCGTGGTTCGATTCCCGGCGAAGGTGTATGCTCATTTTTTATCTGTCCGGCTTTTCCAATTAACCTAATGTCTCTACATCCGTTTAAATTTGATTTTGCGGAATAATTTCAATAATTCGAGTATTTCTTTTTTTCTATTTTTTACAAATTTGAATTAAAAAGAGATCACCGTATTTCAATATAAGTTTCCCAATAAAGTGTATTTAAAATAAAGGGATTTAATTTCTGAATAAAGTACTGCAAATATTGCTTTTCTATTGTAAATATTAACAGAGTAATGACAAAGATATTTTGATAGCTGTCTGAATATTTTACGCAGATTTCACAAATTTTGCTACAACTGCTTCCTAAGCCTCAGTGAACCACAACTTTCATTATAAAGCCCATAGAACGAAATCACAATGCATAATGTTAGGTAAACTAAGATATTAATTGTAAAATATCAAGTCATTAGCAGTTAGAACAAAATAACAATGCATAATGCTTTGTAAACTTGGGTATGAACTGTGAAATGCCAAGTCATTACCACTTAGAATAAAATCACAATGCGTAACGTTTGGTAAACTTAAATATTACTGTGAAATATCAAGTTATTAAAAGTTAGAACAAAATCACAATGCGTAATGTTAGGTAATCTAGGATATTTACTATTAAACGTCAAGCCATCAGTAGTTAAAACACAATCACAGTGCCTAATGCTATGTAAATTTGGAAACTAACTGTAAAATGTCAAGTCAGAACAAAAGTCAGAACAAAATCACAATGTATAATGCTTAGTAAACCTGGATATTAATAGCGAAATGTCAAGGCATTAGCAGTTAGAACAAAACCGCATTGTGCGTAATGCCAGGTAAACTTGGACATTGGCTGCAAAATGTTAAATCATTAACAGTAGAAAGATCATTAGCTGTTACAGTCGTGATTTTTTCTAAAAATGCTCTGTAAGTGCATTTTTCAAGATCTGTCGAAGTCATAACAGGTTCCAAAGTCATAAAGGTTCCGTTACAAAGGAATAGCCTAAGACTTAAACCATACTTAGTCTTAATTTCTCTCTTGCATATCAAAATGAATCTCGTCTGTATTCAGGGAACTCTCTATAATATGCACAAACTGACTTAAATGATATCTGGATGGACTCCTACTTACAATGCAAGTTTTTGCTTCATTGTTGCACAGCCAAACGAATTTCTTCTTGAAACTTATGCAGTGTTTCTGAGTGATAGCCGAGAACTAATTCGTAGAAACAAGCTGAGTTTCTTTAATAATCGGCCTATACAGTTATAATGCCAATAATTTCCTTCGCGCTTTAGCAAGCACTATTTGGTATGCCTCCTTTCGCCACTCCTCTCACGACCTTGAAAATCATCCACGTTTTCATATTTTGTTTTCTAATTAACTCCCGCCAACCTATATACATAGGTAAGGGAAGAAATTGACAGTGAATTTCCAGTAAATAAGCGCGAGGTAGGGATTCCACAACACGTTTTTTTCTCTTTTTTTACAACGATGCCTGTCTGTGTTTGTATGCGCCAGACGAAGTTTTCGTCCGCGATAACTCTTATATGAAACTTCCAAAGACTTCTGTTTTCCATTTTCAAGCTTTCTACATGCATATAAGGAGTTGATTAAATTTTGGGTAAAATTGGACAAACGGAATGGTACTTTACAGGCAGCGCATAACAGTCGTTAATGGACAGCAGGAAATGGTACTTTACTTGATGCCTATAACAATTTCTAATAAACAACTGTATTAAAATACAATCATAAAATTTTAGTACTTTAATATCAATGGAAACAATACATTAGATTTAGGCTAAAACTGATAAACCGGAAGTGATATTTTATTCGAACCTTTCAAGAGACTTTCGTAAAAAATAAATTATGAGATGATCCCAAACTTCTCAAATTTGATATGTATTTAAAACATGTATCTCATTGAAAACAACAAAATAGTACATTTATAAGTATTCAATATATTCTTGGAACTATGCATCGAGAAAAATGTCATTGTGAAGAGCTGTGATTGTGAAGCAATTAACTGTATTAGCCTTAATCTTCAATTTGTTTTCGTTTCACTTTTGCGTCGAATCGCTTTTCAAATAAAAAGATGCTGCCATCAAATGTTATCGGTATACATTATTTTCAAAGAAATAATGTAGAAAATATTAAAATAAATATATCGCAATATTCTATAGGAAATGTAGGTATGCTGCTTTCAAAACGTTTTTGATTGTAAAATCATTGGTTTGTGAATCCGAAAACACTGATCAGAGAATATAACTACGATCAGTGCGATATTTCCAAATCAAAGCATGATAATGTAATGTGTAAGTATAGTTATCATATTCCATTATATGGAAGGAAAAAATAATAAAATATTAGTGGTTTTCGATAATTGAATTTAGGCATTAAGCTTTTAAATAAAAACGATTTTACTTACAAATGATCAATTGAAAGTGATAAAAGCTCGTTGATATTCTGCCAGGCCTCATCAGACTCTTTATTTTGTATTAAGGCTTATTTCTCCGGAACTATGGAACAAATCTGCAACCTGATTGTGAAAGCTTTTATTTGTAAGCGTAAATTTGCACATGTGTATAATGGATGACCTTATAGGTACTACATAGATTTTACCTCATTAAAAAGAGTCTTTACATTCCCGGCTTCCCTCATTTTTAAATTCGTTGACGAAACGGTGGTGTAAAAGCTATTTTTGATATACTTTTACAAACTGATAAATCTGATTGAAAAAGAATAAATTTTTGCAAATAATTATGATAGAATGAAAATAATGAATTCTAATACATAGTATGCACCGAAAAGAAAATAGACAAAGAATTTAGTTTCAGAGGCGATTTATATAAAATTAGTAAATAGCTCCTGATACTGATTAATTTCAGTTATAGATGCTTTATGTATGATGAAACAAATATCCTCTAAAAATGAAATAATTAATCCTGTTTTCAAAACAATAAACTTATTAAGTTTAACGGTTTGCTGCTGCTGTGGTATATTCCGTGTAACCGTAAAAACGATAACTGAATATTCAGAAGCTAAAGCGTTAATAGCATTAGCGAAAGACTACTGCTTGCGTTAGAAGACTCTGTGACGACGATAATTGACACTTTAATGCTCAGCAAATTTTCAAAGGCTTTCTTCTAGTTGAGATAAACATTCAATGACTTGCATTAGGGTACAAGCACCTTTGATATGAATGATCTACCTCGATAAGAAAAAAAAATAACTCAGGAAATATTTCGTCTTGAAGTTAGAATTAAATGACAAACAAAATAAAAAATGCGGATTTGGTTATTCATTTTTTTCCTTTATATTAGTATTTTTATGTAGCTATTAGAAAATGTGACTATACATAAGCTGCTACCATAATATTTCTATTCGGCAAAGCTTCTACATAATATGGAGATAGATTGAAAAGAAATGCATCAAGCACATAAGACAAACGTTATGATAGATACACAAGTGGATCTCAGGTGAATTTAAATAATGAGAATGAAGCACCCTTAACGTACTATAAGTCCTGATTTACCATCGATTCCGTTTCTACCCGGTTCTCCAGGAACTCCCCTTGGACCCTGAAGAGAAAATAACGTAGCAGAGTCAAAAATAAACAGAATTTGAAACAGCAATTTTATTAAATTGATAAATCCTAGTTTTTAACATTGAAACTTTCTAAGCATGCATATCGAATTAAATTTTCCAGTAATTCAGATATCCAGTAAATATTTTTGCCAGTCTTCTGCGTAATAAGTGAGACGTTTGATTTAGACATAGTATATAAGCATAAAAATTATGCTTAGAACTGTAATTTTATAGCGGAAAGAAAGGGGAAAATTTGCAGGGTAAAGCTGAAATCTCGCGGTTTGATAACTTTTATACACCTAGGAGAGCCATCTAAAAGATCTTGCAGTCACAAGATCTGAGATTAATGTAAAGAAGTTACATAATTATTTTTTAAATAAAATATATAAAAATCTCATGCAAACATGTCGCTTCTTTTCTTAATAAAAATAATATCAGCTGCTAACTCAACAAGTTAAATTTTTACTATTGAATAACATTAAAAATCGACTCAAAAAGAATTTCAGTTTTAAAATTCGATGAAAATAAATGAAAGATCGTATCCATTCATCAAATGACTAGAACGTTTGTTTCTTGGATTTCATTGTCAGTAATAGCATTTCTATGAGTTCTTAAACTTTCAAGTAAAAACATAACTATTTAGTTTTAAGCTAAAATGTTTGAAATTGACTCTCGCCTTTTCTTCTCTAAGGAAATTATCTTGAAGGCAGTTAAACTTGGAAAAAAATTTAAAATGTGCAATAAAATATTGAAATAAGGGAAAATCTTCTGAAATCTTTGCAATTATCTTATAAAATATTCTATCACATTTTCGAAAATAATTCTGGAATTTGCATCTTGATAAAATTACTGTCCAAATTATATTCAATCGCGTAATCGGGTCAATAATCTTTGCATAATTGACAACGTGTAATCGTTTTATTAGTTTTATTTGTATGTCTGTAAATGGGATTAAACTTCTCCTTTCTTCTTGCATACTGAATTATCACGCAACATACTAAAATAGAACTCTAATTATTCGGTCTCCAGTTATCCCTATCACTTGTTATTCTTTCGAGAACAAGTGAAACTAAATTCTATTTTAATTTATTGATGCGTTTTAACAATTTTGCATGATGTATATCATGCGAAATACTTTATAGGGTATGGTATTATTTTTTAGAAAGCCTAATTTTAAATGAATGTATATGGTTTAAGATAAAAATTACAATATAATACCGATTTACCGATTATCAACGGATTATTTAAAATATAAATTTGCACTAGGCCGATGAAAACAATCTTCATTCAAGAGGATATCGTTAACTTGGTTTGGACTGTAATTTATTGCAAGCGAATAAGCATAGCTTTTGCATTTATCTGCTTTAATTCAATGGCACAGCATCAGGTATCAGTATATTGTCACCACATATCAGGTTTTTAATATGTAACATGAAAACATTAGTAAGAAAGCAGTTACACTTTGTATGTAAGTTACAGTTCTGTATTTACTATATTAATCATTGCTTAGCACGAATTTACAAATTCATTATACAAAAAGGAAGGAAAGTGGCATACAAGGCTTTTGAAACAATTTATCGACCTAGAGTTTCTTAAACTAGCCCTGCATGAAAACATTCGTCATTTCATTTCATTATTGCCATAAAACCACATAAAAGTTCGGGTAACCGGTTAAGTTGCCAACCGGTCCAATGGTTATCGTGTGTAATCGGTAACCTATGGAATTCATCTTAGAATGACACAAAAATTTGAGAATATCCATTTGAGGATAATTTTCCCTGAAGGTAAATTTAATAACCGTTTGATATGTAGTCCGTATTAATTATAAAGCTTGAAATTCCATAAACAAAAACAAATATTAAATACAAAAATTATGAAGACTTTAAAAGGTTCTTGTTTGTCGTGATGAGAATCACGGGATTATTCGCAATATAATATCGATTTCAGTACAGGGATCAAATATTGTTTTTTGAAATCAGTGAAAACGAAGTTTTAAGTCGTGGTTTCAAATAGTATCGACATATCGAACAAAATCCTGGAATAGTTTTAATAGAATAATGTTTATTTTAAAAAGCTATTTATAAACATAAATTAATTCTTTTGTCATTTTCGTCATAAATTATTTTAATTATCTCTAATATAAGAACAATTTTACTATATGTTATTTACTACTGTCATGTAAAAACATTAAAGAAATAAAGTAAAAAAAAAGATAGTTACACACTACTATCTAATAAACATTAATATAATAACATTAAAGAAAGGATAGTTATATACTACTCTATACACAAACATTACAAAAATTAATTAGGAATACCAAGTTGATTTTTCCTATGTATAGTTTGACCCATTTTTATGCAGATTTAGTCATACAGCTGCTTTTAAAAAGTAAGTCGAATGTTTCCAGTTCAAAACAAAATACGTTGATTTACATTTTTTATTATGACAAAACATTTTAGTGTTATTTGTCTTGGGAATAATGCATTTGTATAGAACTTTTTTAAGAAAAAGAAATAATTTAGGCTTCACACAACGCAGAGAACATAAAAAACCATGCAATTAGCTTGTTCAGCGGTTGGAATCGAGTTCGGGACGAAGTATTAATGTTCAGTTAGTTCTCTCCGTCATGCGTGGACGAAAATACATAGAATTAACATTTACAGTGAAATTTTGATTATTTGCCGCTCTTTTAATTGGTATATTCTACTATTAATCGGTGCTGCGACCGTCTGTTCGATAGAATGAATTTCCAGAAAGCAGTGAATAAATACAAAAACAAGTAGTAGAGTCACAGATGCTAACCGATGTTTTTTCGGTCTCAAAAAATACTTGAAGTCTAACGTCACTAGCAGAAAAACGAAGACTTTAATTTACAAAAGCTTAATCAGACCCATTCTTAAATACTCTGCTGAGACCTGGGCAATGACAGAAAAAGGTAAAAGTACCATTTCGTCTTTGAAAGAAAAAATTTGAGAAGTATTTTTGGTGGCATAAAATGTAACAATATCTGGAGAAGAAGTAATAACTCTGAACTCTATGAATCGTTTAAAGGAATAGATATAGTCAAATATATAGGGATTCAGAGAATTAGATGGGCAGGACACCTGTGCAGAATGGATAAAAATCGAGTTACTGAAAAGATCTTCTCGGCCAGACCATTCGGCACCCGAAAACGAGGGAGACCTAAACTTAGGTGGCTCGACTGTTTGGAAACGGACTTAAGAATTTTAAAAATAACCAATTGGATGTCCATTCCCAGGGATAGAAGAGCTTGGAATTCGATTCTGAGGAAGGCAAGGGCACATCCTGGGCTGTCTGGCCATTGAAGAAGGAGAATTTAGAATAAAGAGCTAAAATACATTTTAAAGGTTATATTATTGTAGTGTTAAATAAAATTATGCATATAAACAGTTTCTCAAAATTAACATGATGGTTCGGTAATCACTAGATCAGAGGCTCAAACTCGTGGCCCTGGAGTCGCATCGGCCCCCATCGGGCGAGTCGCATTGAGTAATTTTTTTGGCACGAATACATTTTAGTTACATATTTATCGCAAATTCAAAGACTTCAAGATTATTTGAAGTCCGAGTTTACATAATTTTCATTACCATTGAAAAAGGACCTGAAATATTTACCAGAAAGTCTATAAATGGAGCTAAGTTATTTATACTGTGATATATATTTTATTCAAGGATCTGAAGATACAATATTAATTTTTATTCGTAATTGCCAAAACACAAATAAGTTACGAACTTTTGGGACTGAAAATAATTGTGTTTTTTGGGGGGGGATGCTACATGCAAACAGCTAATTTTGTAATTGAAAATTGATAAGAGACTCCAATTAACCAATGAATATCTACTGGGTTGGCTCATTAGTTTTGGCGTCTTTTTTCTTAAATTTCCACAGCTGTTGAATCGCCATCCATGAATAGCTTAAATTAATTTTGAACCGTCCTAAGAGGCATCGCTTCTTTTCACCAAGCACTTCACAAATCTTTCGAGCAGCTTTTGCCACCTCGATTAAACGCAAAAAAGAGAAATTGTCAAAAATCCTCTTTTTTGCCGACTTGACACTTCATTTTACTGACATGAAAAGAACAAAAAATATACAGTATAATATAATACTCGTATATATCGTTTTGTTGGTCACATAATTCTGTATCCAATAATATAAAATGCACTGACAAAACATTTTATTTTTCTCACGAAATTTTCAATTTTAACTTAAAAAACGCCAGGATTTACGGGCCAACCCAAAACAATCCGTGATGAAGATAATTTCTGATAGTTTCTCCCCAGATCTGCAAATTTTATCTAAAATGAAACACTAGCAAGTGTCAAGCTGTAGTGAAAAAGGTAAAAAAAAAGGTTTATAAGGATTTTAATAAAGCCATACATACATTTATTAATTAGCGGAAGCAAAATTTAATAAATAAGAAAAGCAGACTAAATTGTCATTATTTATTCTCAAGTTATGTCGCATTTAGAAAATTTTCTTTTTAGTAAAATTCTAAATAAATTAGATTTAAATGAGAGTAAATTATTTAATGATTAATTAAACATGTTAAAACTATTTGAAATACATGTAAGTCTGAAAACCTGTATTTTGAATATACAGGGTGATTCATAAAGAAGTACAACACTTTCCACCTGCTATAAAACAGTAACAGTCAAAGGCACCCACCATCCCAGGGAACCATAAGGTAGATGTACCCTTACAGTTTGTGTCTCGCCTCTGAAGGAAGTGACACAGCATGCATATAATATGACTAGTCAGTCAAAATGACGACGTCTGCAGTGGAGAAGGCCTTTTTGTGTTCTTGAATTTAGGAAAACGGAATCCTCAACTGCTCTGCAATGGCATTTTCGATCACAATTCGGAAAAGAACCTTCAACTAGAAAATCTATCTATCAATGGCATGAAAATTTTAAAACAGCGTATCACAGCCGCTATGGATGGACTTGATTTAGATACCTTAACATGCGTATGGGAGGAAATGGATTACTGGCTCGATGTGTGTCGTGTGACTAAGGGTTCACACATAGAACATCTGTGTAAGAAAATTTAAAATAATCCCATACAGTTCTAGTACCAGTAACATATCTTACATTGTTCTTGATTCATAGTGCATTGAAACTTTATACTTCTTTATGAACCACACTGTATTGTGATACCAAAAAAAAAAATATCTTGCAGATACCAAACTTTAGATTTCAGATAGCAAATAAGTAAAAATTTGAATTTTTCCCCTTTGCGATATTTTGCTTATGCATATTAAAAAAAATAGTAAGAGAAATTAAAAATTTATTTAGTAAATAAAAAAATTTCATGGTTTGGGGATACAAAATTTCTGGCCCAAAAGCTGCTGTCAGATTGTGCATTTGGTACGTATGCTATTTGAATTTAAGGCCACTGTACAAGATAACATGCTCTTTATGAATACTTTAACAGGAAAACTGTAAAACTTCATGTACCAGTACATAAAACTTACTTCGGAAAAAAATTGTTTTCATGTTTATTACATGTTTTTATATTAACTGTGCAGAAGCTTAAACAGCGAACAATTGCCTTTTTACGCAGTACAGCGTTTTCAATTTTGATTGAATTTATTTCTATAAGCAAACCAATATAATACAGTACCACATTTTATTACCATTAAAAATTAAATTGTTATAAAAACGTAAGATACATTTTATTATGTTGTGACTCAAAACATTTTTGGATTTATTTTAATGTCATATTTTTACTTTACGTGACAGTAAGGAAGCTAAGGGATTATAATGAGATTGATTTTCAATTATAATATTAATTTTTATTCGCACTATTTAACATCTTATACTGAAAATTCACTTTCCTTATTGATTGCTGATATTTGGTACCATATGAGGAAGAAGATTTTGTTATTAGTGTAAAAACTCTTATGTGTAAAAACAACGAATCCGAGATTCCGGGGTAAGGATAATCCGAATTCTCCGTGACTCTTCCTTAAATTTTAATTTATAAATTCAATATACATTAAAACTATGATCTATCCTATCCGAAAAAATCATTTATCCGTATGTATTACTCCGCATTTTGCGTCCCAATTTACAAATAATATATTGTTACGTTTTTTTTTTTTTTTTTTTTTTTTTTTTTTTTTTTTTTTTCTGACACCAGTTGTTACGTTATTTTCTTCCTTCACGTTCGTACGGGGTTTGTAGATTTGGACTGAAGAACGACGACACTTAATGAAGTATCGAAACACACTTTATTTACTAATTTTAATCAGATAGCTCCAAAATCACTTTTACAGTCGTCGAACTGTTATAAACACGCTGACACGTTCAGCGACACAGCCTGCACACTGTCAGGCAATAAGGGTGAGACAGCTGATTGCAAAGCACCCGAGTACAGCTCCCAATTCTGCTTGTCGTTCTCGGAACTCCACGTACTCTCGAGACTCTCTACGCGATGCATGAACTTACACAGATTAAGCTGTCAATCAGCACAGTCTAAGACTAACTCGACATGCAATAAAAGACTCTCTCGATTCCCTCGACGACCAACTCGGCTAGACTTCGAGACACTCGCTCATGACTCAGCTCGCTTACGAGGCACACACACTAACTGACGGGGGACAGCAGGGTTTATATAGCTTTCGGTTGTGTTCAAGAACATTCTGGGCTAAACCGGTAAGAATTCGTTCCAGAAGGTTCTCCATCCGTCCATGGTATATCGCCAATTTTGTTGCCAAATGGACCAAATGTGGCAACCCTGCCTTCCCTTGCCATTTATGGCAACCATAAAACTGCTTTGCGGGGAATCTCACCGTGCCTTGGCATTTCGTAACAATATATTTCCCTGCCTATTGTTTCCAAAATTATCGTTTAAAGACATGAATCAATTGTAAAATCACGATCCCCATGCATCATTTCCTATATCTGGAAAAACAATTAAGTGAACTACCTCGTTATTATTCAGCGTAACTTTATCTTTGGACTATACATTTGTCAACATATAAACGTAGTCACACTTGGCGCATGGTTCTCAATTCTGCTTCTGCACTATTAGGATAATTTGCAATGTTATTTTGTGGCAAGCTGCTAATAAGTTTGCATCTGCTAGTTTTCATTTGTATATTCTGTTAGTTGTGAGTTTCAATGTCAGTTTTCAGCTTGGGTCTACAAAAGGTATGAAGGAAGAAAATGAAAAGAAGACCAAAACGATTCACCAAGGTACACGAAAGTATGCCAAACGTTACAAGATTTTTATATAGGCAAACTAAAATAGACACGGACTTTAAAAAACGTTTAAATATAAAAATATGCATTTCCAGTTAATAAAAAATTCAGCCTAGTAGCAAAAGACAATGTGAACCTTTTAAAAAGTAATGCATTTATGTCTAAGGCTACAACTATTACTTATTTACGATTTTTAATATTTTTCCAACTTAATCGTGCCATGTGTAATAATTTCCCAGCTTAGCCGTTTCCCCATATTATCGTTTGTCTCTTTTTATTTCATTCTAAAACGACAAAATGAGGTTCCACGGTATTCGTAATAAAAGACATCTTTCAAATGATAGTGAAAAAGTACTCTGTGTACATTATTTAAACACTACCTATTTACATAACAGTGTGATAAAAAATACATTTAAAACCTATCATAATATAGTTACGAATCTGATGTGGAAATATATCTTAAAATACTTATTTATTATAGAAATACTTACCGGCAAACCCATTGGTCCGAAGTCACCCTTTTCACCTTTTTCACCCTAGTTGAGAAAAAAGAAACAGAGATCAATAAATTTTCTGTAATTCCAATAAAATCTTATTTTGATAAGAGTAATATTTATCGTTTTACATTAATAATATAGCGTGCAATATGTTCAAGTGTTTTTGAATATAAGAAATGAAATTGGGAGTATACCATTTAACACTGTATTATTCAGTAGCTAGCAAGTACTCACATAGACGCTAACGGATACTTTGCAGGAAAGCGAAACAGGACTCTAACATGAAATTAGGTAAAATTAAATTTAGACCGGCGCTGGATTTGTTCTTTAGCAATAAGTACAAAATTGCTGGAATTCTCTTCGTGTTCAGCTTTCAATTTATTTTGAACAGTATTAATAAAATCCATTTTTTTTTATCTTTAAAGACCCTATTTCAGGTTTTAATAATTCGCTATTTTATAGCGTTCTATAAAATTACGAAGAATTGAATAAATTAAAACTGAACAGACGTCTTAAAACATGACAAGTCATTTTCTTGAATCTTGAAAGGAATAAAACGTAAACTTACGGGTTCTCCTTTCTGTCCGTCCATTCCTCTATCTCCTTTTATTCCTGGAGCGCCTTGAACACCAGCTGGACCCTAAAAGACCAAAATATTTTTCAAGAGATTCCCAAATAATATCAGTCGACCAGCCAGAGTATTAAGACATTGATGAAGTATTAAGACATCTAGTTACAGTTATTTACTCATGTATTTCCACTTTTTCTCTAATTTCACCACTCGAAAATAGGGAGGAGAAAATTACCACTAAATAAAAATTCTGAATAAAGGAAAAATAGAAGAACTCACATGAATAAGAAACGAATGTTAGTCATAATAATATACCGTTAGTAATTGCTTCAGTATTAATTGATAACAATTTTTTCATAAAATTAAAAGAAAAGGTATCGGAGTAATAATTAAGATACAAGACATGGCGCATTCAAAACAGGATTAAAAATATTTTTCGAAAGCTACATACATAATTTAAAAAGCAATCAACTTGCGGCACATTTTTGCTCACTATCTTTTTGACTGAAAATTTTCCTCACATCTTTTCGTGTCACCCAGAGCAGATGAAATAGTCTGTTATAAATTTGTATATGTATATATTGTATACTATCTATTGCATGAACTAAGGCTATAAGAAAATCCTCTTCTTAAACTTTAATTTAACTCTCATTGGAGACTTTTACTGCTGGTAAAATCTGTAACAATTAAGTCTAAAATCTCAATCAATTAAATCTAAGAAAGAGGAAATTATAAACTATTTCCAGAAACCATAATATCATACGGTAACTAGTCTCTAGAAGGGGATCGCAGGGATAAAGATAAAGGAGTGACATTTCATCTTCGCAATTATTTTGCACTTTCTAGGAAAGTAGAGATATCGTTGCGATGAAGTGTAAAGATATATTCTTGCGTCTTTATCAACACTTCTTGGAGATATAATCTTCAGGAATGGTTCTTATTAGATTTCTCTTTATTTGCCTTTCTTTTATTTGCCCTCTTATTAAATAGACAAAGAAGACCTTGACATTTTGAAATGCATGTTCAAAGATTACTAAACTAAAAAAATTCAGGAGCTGCTAATTCTTATGGAAAGGTGCAATTTCTGATAAGTATGAGTTTAAAACTATGCAAATAAATCAAAGTCTCTAAATCCTACTCTAAAGACGCTGGGAAAGGCGAATATATGCACGTAAATGTGGTGCGGTAATATAACGACGAGCCGCCCAGACGGTACAGTGGTTAGGGAAGCCTGACTGCGTTACCGAAGAGCTTGGTTTCGAATCCTGGAGAAGGCATGGTTGTAACTGTCCGTCCTTTTATAGGAGGGGATGGTGGCCCACCTAATAGGTGCCTCCATAATAAAGAGACCACCACATCTAGCCTTGTATAGATTAATGGAACTGTGTTACACTGTAATAATCTGCCATTGGAAAAAACGAATATAACGACGACGCATCTCCAAAGAAATCTTTCAATACAGGGAAGTTTAGTTAAATAATAGGTGTCGCCGATACATTATATGGAGTCTTACAACAAAATTAACAGACTGTTGTTGCGTCTTTTTGTGCTAATCCAAAAACTGCGCAACTCTTATTTGTCATAGTTTGCTGTATAACCTGTTAATATCACGACACGAAAAACGAATCGAGCTTATACTTCAATTTTAGCGAGCTAGCTTTGCCATCAAAGGCAACTCTGGTAATATTCAAATGGAAATAATCATTAAATAAAACGTAACTTCTATTAAACTTTGACGGCCATTTCCTTCATTTTGACAATAAGAAGAGTAGCACTGCCTTATCATGCCATAAGAGGCAATACTGGTAACATAGTCAATATTGTTGAGAAATATAAAAGATGTACAGATCCGCTCTCTGAATGTATTGGATCATGGCTTAGAGCAAAACGAGATATTATGAACAGTTAGCGGATTTTAAAAGAGGAAATGTTATCCAGTAGAGTAGGTGGTTTTTCGTATTGTGTCATCGCTGCTCATGTTAGTCAAAAATCCTGTATATTATATGTGCGTGGATACACAGAACGGAGCAATGCTTGACATACCGACGGGAAGGATCTGAAGAGAATTACAGCTACATTATAATCGGATGATAGCCACAAAGTACGCAAAGGAATTATGAATCATTTCAAGAAATTTATAACGTTATCATACAGCGGAAACCAATAATATACCACGAAATGTCTGCGACCATTATTCTCCAACCATTTCTGCAGAGAAAATTCGAACTCGGCGTTTCTTATAAAAAAACTTCGTTTTGACTCTCTAACAAAGATTTCAGCGACTTCAACGCGTACATTTTATAAATATGGGCGGTACAAGCATTTTTGTGCCAGGAACGATCTGCACTCCTGAACTTTCTTAAGTGTGGCAAACCTGTCTTAGCTACAAAGACTAGCTACAAACCTGTCTTAGCTACAAAGAACAGCTGTAAGCAGTTCGATAGTGTCACGGCATGAGACAGTGTTGGCATGAGTTTACACTTCAATTTCAGAAATCACACTAGCATTAATTACCTTTACCTTGTCTTTAATGGTGAAGCAGATATGATCCTTTCAACATTTAAATATCCTACAAATAGTTGCTTTAATTAAGGGAAAACACGCGAAGATTATATGTTCATGAAGGGCGAGATCCTCCTAAGGGAAGCTAGCGTGTATTAAAGTTATCTCAATAGTTTGGGGAAATTTGATTTCGGAACATCAATAATGATTCAGAATTCGAATATGCACCGTGTCCACAAATGTCCTTATCCGGCCTTTATTTTAGCAACCACTGATCGTAGATATAAACTTTCACTTACAAAAATGTTTTAAATGAAGCAAAGATTCATATTTTGTTTCTCCTAAATTTAAAGAAATCTATTATTTTTAAATTACAAAATCTGACCTTCTATACGGTCTTTCAGTCCCTATACTTATAATGTAGGGAAAATTTTATACTCGCTATAAAAAATAAAACACAAAAGTGACTCCCATACGACAAAAACTGACCGAGATAAAGGGTGTCGCAACAAAAATACCCAATTGAAAATGCCGAATAAAATACTTTATGTTTAGAAAATAGAAAAGATTTTTACGTATTTACAGGTTTCCCCCTGACAACAGGTTTTGCTTTGCTCTGTGTTGGGTGTGCTGCGTTAACCATGAGGCCGATAATAATCGACACACTCGTATATTACATTACATTAACTTACTTACAACAGGTAAATGTTCGGATTTAAGAATGTAAAATAACGTCTGGCAAATATCCTTCACAGTTTTCTCAGTAACACCGCCCTTCAGTTTTGTTTTGCAATAACATCGCTGTGCACAAAAGGGATGTTTCCGACAGAGCGGCTGGATCGAGAGCTTGGTGATTTAATGCCTACCAA